TGCAATACATACATAGTCATGAAGTTGGCCAGGGCAAACCGCGGATTTCCACGATTGCTGATGAATGAGTTGTAACTTGAGAGCTGCCGACATTTCGGATTGAACTCACGTGGACAAGCCTTCTCCGTATGTCTCTCTCAGCTCTGTGGCTGTGTACTCAATGCTAGTAGTAAAGGAATAAAGTTTGAACTACAAACTTGGTGTGTATAACATTACATGAGTCCTCTCTAATATCTTGTAACGTGAAATGAAATAGAATGTGGTCCACATGTACATGTTCAAGTTTACGGCTCAGACGATGCTGGAACGGTGAAGGTATGTCTCGGTGTTGCTCCTGACATGTTGGTTTTGTCCGGTTGCGCGATAATTTTGTGGTTGTTCCAAAATTCAATGAATCGGTCGACGCCGGTGAAGTTGAATTTGGAGGATCTTCGGCCATAACCAATTAAACAGATTTCTAGCAGAATTGTCAGTACTAAGTAGTCGGAAAGATAATTTAAATAAACTGCTTACAGTTCTTGAGTTGGCATGAATGTGATGACAGAAAATCATGGAGTGCTGCAGTTGTCTTGTCAATAGAGATTGAGAAACTGTATAGAGATGGCAAATGACTGAGATATTTATTTGAATTTCAAGGGAAGATCCAGGTAATTATTGGAGTGGAAGGTGAGGGCTGTGGGTATTAATTAAGTAGAATGGTGATCATGGCTCACCTCTCTTCGGATTCTAGTCTATGCACAGGGCCTTTTTCTGCTTCACAAAAAAGACTAGCATCTATTCACAGTGAGTTCATCAAGAGTTCATAGTTTCCTTTGTCACAGAAAACAAAATGCTAATGCATTATCTCATGGAGATTATTTCACAGCCGCCCCTCCACATGTACAACCCTATTATGTTAGTTACTTCCATCCTTTTCGTGCATCAGGAACCAGCTCCCTCAAGGGAGCGCCTTGTTTGAACACGACGCCCAAGTCACATCTAGTCAGGTCACATCTTGTGACATGGCCTTCTTTCGTCAAGCCACGACGGCGTCGTTGTCGACTTCGCCGACAGCCACCACCATGACCACCAACGAACGTGACAACGCCGGCTACACGAGGGCCCAGCCACATGAGCACACGAGCGCCCAACAACACGAGCACACAAGCGCCCAACTACATGAGCACGCGAGTGGCTGAGCCACACGAGCGCCCAGCAAAACCGTAGGCGAAGGGCGATGAGCGCTCACGCGAACAGTGACGAGCGCCCACCCACCACTTCTTGAGCTACCACCACGACGACCCGACAACACGAGGGCCCAGCCACACGAGTGCCCAGTGACCGCCACCATCGACGAACGGTGACGAGAGCCCACCCACCACTTCATGAGTGGACACCACAACGATCGGAAGGACGACGACCGCCCACCCTCCGCATCGTGAGCACACACCACGACCGTCGACGGAGGACGATGAGCGTGAGCGCCCACCACCACCATCGATTATAAGCGACGACCGCCCACCACTGCTCGAACGAATCGGGAACGACACCACGAGCGCCAAGGCCATCTCGCAGCTAGCGATGCGGCAGCGATATAACACAGATGGACGGGGGACGACGACGACGATGGGAACATCGTCGTCGTTGTCTATTGGATCTAGTAAGTACCCCCATGTATCACTCCCACCAACCCCCTCCGTCACTCCCTTCCCCCTC